CATGGAATTGATTTTTTAAGATTGACAAACATCATATATGTAATTCGTGGCACAATTCAAACGGGATCGAAAGATATGTTTTCTCTCTCCATTGACTTCAATACATAATTTTCCGAAATAAGGTCCCGTGGACCGGAAGTTGATGGGCGTGACTTCGCCGTGTTCACATAAAAGGGGCGGGGTTAGCAAGCATTCGACCAATCACAAACATGGAGAAGCGCACTGACAGCACAGCGTCATACTTCCTGAATGAAAAGTCAACTATAATATTAGACAAATATGAAGAAGTTAAACTTTAAACATCCATGACTTAAACACTTTATCCAGGATCAAAGCCACATAGCTGCACCTGAAGGTGAATACAGCTGGTAAAAGAAAAAGTGTTTGAATGCGTACATTAACAGGTTTATGATATCACTGCCCCGTCTAAGACACGAGTGGATCTGACTTTAATTACATTTGTCTCGAGTGTTTCGTCAACTTAATGTCTTGCTTAAAATAATACTTCTGCATACAGTATGTAACACTGTGAGTGTTGCACAGCCAGATACGACTCAGCTGACTCAGATAAGGAAATATATGATACATTATGATGTGATATGCCGCGGACTGTACTTAATGTTACTTTGATCCGGTTACTTATGTTGTGGCAGATATTTAAGTAAACTTTCTTAACACTAATGTTATAATAGTCAGATTGCTCTGAAGATGGGAGGTGATATTCTATTAATGTTCACGTTACGTGCTGAACAAGCTGTTTTTAAACTGTTATCGAAGTATAAAATGGCTACTTGTGAAAGTATCAGATTCTTCGCAGAAGTTGTCTCTACACACACTCCATTTTTTGCGAATCTGAGTGCAATCCATGACCAACGAACGGAGAAAGAAGTGACGGCTAAAATATCCTTTATTCTGGATTTCCGTTTCTGGATATCTGCAGGCAACACCAGAAAACCCAAAACATTGACCATTGCCACCGGACGCTAAATTATCATAATAGACGGATAGCAGATGGGTTCCGATATCGATCTACTCCTGACTTAATTGACGAGTAGATGGCTCATCTCATCTTGCATATAATGTAACTTTCCACCCCACAACTACGGGGTGTTCATCGCAGGGGACTTGTGTTCAGAAATATTAAGTAAAACTTCCGGCCTTGTAATGTCTGAAAGCTTGAATTCTTAATTATTGGGCCTCTGAATGGATGACTTTGTCTCACCTATAAGAAACATATCAACACATCCTCTATAAGGAAATGGAGATATCCCAAACACTTGTGATTGACTTGAAATTTACTAGTCAAGATTTTGAGACCTGATCAAATTCGATTTTGTATTCTGACAAATCATATCACCACAGTCCGACTAGCTCAATTTGTAACACACAGCCTCACTTGCAAAGCTCATTGTATTAACTTTGTTGAGACTATTCATCTTGACATTTACAAAAAAAAAAACATGTATTTATTCTGTTTCTTCTCAAAAGCTCTTGAGTAAGCTGAAATCCTTTGAAAGTGTTGTCAGAGTGCTGATTGCCAGACGCCTCAAACATTTTAAATAAGTGCTGCTCATTGACATTCAACATGCTGTTACCTAGCGATGCAGCAGTAATTGTCAGTGTGATTAGGTTACTTCAAAGATTAGCATTATATTGTTGGTGCACATTGTATTCTTCTATAGCTCTGCACAAGGACATAATAGCCAGTTTTCAGACAAGCTTTCTCTCACAAAAGAAAATGCTCTACGTCACTCAGTTCGATGTGCACTCAAGAGAAAATAGGACTGACTGAAAAAGGTAGATAAAATAAGGAAAATAAAGAGGTTTCCTATGCGTGGGTACTGCATCTCCGCGCTCAGAATACAAACAGTAGGTATCTTTTCAATGAATCAGAGAGCAGGCTGGAAAATCCAGATGAAAGCCACAATCGTTTTGATGTTGTAATCTATTCAATACATTTCAGTTGTAGGCTATACAGAATAGCAATGATGTAGCCTAAAGGGTGAAAAAATAATAGATGGGGCAAAGTCGCTGTTTTGTAAGTCACAAATTACAATGAAGTCTTGGTTCTAAATTCCGAAGTCCACACATACAAGATTGTAATAAGTCAAGTTCTGAACCAAACCCATGACCACATGTAATATTGTGAAGCTGACCGTTGAGCGGCCCAACCAAGCAAGGAGGCAGATGCAGAACGTCCAAAAATACAACCCGGTGTGGGCATTTATTAAGTCATACACATCATTCACAGCCTCAATCCGGTTGAACATGTGCACACCGTCACCAACCACATGGATTTTGCACCACACGACCAGCCTCCAAACAGACAGGGCAACAGAGCCTAAATACACACCCACACTAATCAAACCAACAGGACACAGGTGAGGGGGGAGCAATTAGACACAGGTGGGGGGGGGAGGAGACAACACAGGGCACCAGGTGAACATAATCAGGAGTAACAGAAAGAACGGGAGGGGGAACACTTTTCAAATGTGCAATATACAAGGCCCGAAGCCGTCAGTCCAGTGACGAAGTTACCTTCGTCACAAATACCCATTCTTCTATTGTTTTTACAGACTAACAGTGATTATAATATTACAGAGGACATATTATGCTCATTTTCAGGTTCATATTTGTATTTTGTTCCTCTACGGAGACATGTTGTTATGCTTTAATGTTCAAAAAAGGTCTTTATTATTCTCATTATGCCTGTGCATCTGTTTTTTCATCCTCTGTCTGAAACCAGAGCCCAGTCTGCTCTGACTGGTTAGCTGGCCTGCTCTGTTGTGACTGGTGAACCACGTATAGATGTCCCGCCCCTTAACCTCATGTACAATGGGTTGGAAACAATAGATAAAAGAAGCACAGTTGTTATATAGTGATGTCATTATGAAACCGAAGTAAACAATGGAGTCTAATGGAGGCGTTTCAGGGGGAGTGTGTGGGAGAGAAACTCTGGAGGGAACTTTGGGATTTTAGCATTTGCACATCATGGACCAAAATCTATACAACACACTGAAGGAAAGGGAGAACCACACAAAGCATAAAAAGGGCCTCTTGAAAATAGTACTGGAGAAAATAAATATTAAAAACAATGTGTTTATAATTTTCCATTAAATTATTAATAATACTTCTGTTTAAATATCTGTTAAATGTTTTGCATAGAGCCATCTGTTTTTTGTTGACAGCAGCAGATTTCTTACACCTCATTCTGATGATGTAAGGCATCATCTGCTGTCTGTCTGTCTTTCCCTAAAGAGGTGGCAATTTGATTGGCGGCTG